ACTTCCTGAATAGCCCGAGCTTTAAGCAAGTTCTTTAGCTCCTCTGCGACTACTTCGGCGTGGTGCAGCGCTGATCTCCTGGTTCTCTGAATGACCGGCCTTGAACTGGGGAAAACATTGAGGTGATGACAAATGAAGCTCGGGTTGATGCCGGGCATGTCGTAGGGCGACCATGCGAAGACTTCGATATTTGCTATCAAGAATTCTACCATCTCGGTTCTTTCTTGGGTGGTAAGGCTTGAGTCGAGCAAGAAGAACTTGTTCGGTCTTTCAATGTCAATCCGCACTTCTACCAACTCCTCGACAGCTTTGTCCTCAGCCTTGGCGCCCACATCTTTAAGGACTCCATGGTCTTCTGGTCCTTCAATCATTTGGATGAAACCTTTGGCAGCTCGGCTCCCATTCACTGCCACGAAGTATTGTTTCGACATGACTTGATAGCCCCAAACTTCCTCAATTGCCCCCATAGCCGAGGGGAATCTCATAACCTGGTGGTAGGTCGACGCCACAGCCTGCATAGCGTGAAGCCATCCCCTACCGAGGATCAGATTGTACATAGACAGCACCTGTAATACCCAAAACTCCACCTGCTGGACCACGGATCCGGCTTTGACCGGTAAAATTATCTTTCCCAAAGGCCACTCCGGTTACGAGTTGAAATCAACTAGTGGAGAAGTTACCGAAGCCAAGTCTGTATCTCGGAGTTTGAGTTGTTTGAACGCGTCGTAATACATGATCTCGACCGAGCTTCCCTGGTCGATCAAGATGCGCTTGACATCAAATTCTTTGACGCGGAGTGTGACCACTAGGGCGTCGTTGTGCGGCATTTGAATGCGCTCTAGGTCCCTCGTGGAGAAACTAATCACTTTTTTCTCCTCGGTCTTGCCCCTTTTGATCGCGGGCTGGACTGACAACACTTCCCTCATGTGTTCCGCCTTTTTAATCATTCCTCGGAGCTCGTATACGCGCGCCGGCTCCACTATGCCGTGGATCACATTAACCACTCCTTGAGGGGGCACCTCCAAGTCATCCGGTCATGCTGATCAGCCGGGGTGGGATGTGTGGCCTTAACACCCCCGTCAATGTAAAGATCCAAGTGTCTGGCTACGACTAATTCCTCCAAGTGCTGCTTCAGAGGCAAACAGTCCTCTGTTCGGTGTCCTCACTCCTGGTGATATGTGCAGCGATACCGCGGATTGAAACCTTTTTGTGCGTCGCCTAATTTAGCAGGAAACCGGATGTAATCCTCGTCTCAGATTTCACTAAGTATGCGATAGATTGGAATCTTAAAGACCGTGGTGATGCCTGTCCAAGCTTTCAACCTTCTGTTCGCATCAGCTACGTCATCGCGGGGGTATTCATCTCAGTCATTACAACGACCCCTTCCCCGGTTTCGACGATTTGATCCTCGGTCAGATTCTTTGGCGCGATTAGTTGGACGGTTAGTCTCCTGTCCGACCGCGTGTACCTTGCTAGCCGATCTCTTGTCTGTTGCCACCAGAGTTGTTTTCGCGGTGGATACCGCCGCATCATCCTCTACTCGGATGTGCTCATTGATGCGCTGCATGAGTTGGCCTATGGATGTCGGCTGGTTCATGGTAAGCGAGTCCCGCAACCTATGTCCGACCGGGAGACCGCGCTTATATTGGGTGATTGCCAGGTTGATCGAGCAATCCAAAATCTCATTGAAGGTTTCCCAGTATCTGGAGTTGTATGCCTTTAGTGTGTCGCTCGGCTCCATTTTGACACTGAGAAGGTGGTCCACCTCCTTTGGCGTTTTTGTGTTGGTCTTGAAACGAGTCACAAATGCTTCCGCCAACTGTTGCCATCTTTCGATGCTTCTCTCTGGCAGCCTCTCAAACCATTTCAAGCCCAGCTCACCCAAACTCGACAGAAAGATTAGGCATATAAGAGTGTCATTGCGCCTATGTCCAGCCATGACCTGCCAAAAGTGGCTTACATGCATATATGGATCGGTCTTTCCATCGTAAAGCGTAAACTTGGGTTGGTGGAAGCCTGCAGGGAGAGGAGTGGTTTCTATCTCAAGGGAGAAGGGGGTGGCACTCAGCTTCGCCAAATCTGTGTCTAGAGGGAGAGGCACGGCTGGGCAGGGTGGTGGCATTATGACCTCTTCACTGGCATGACCCCCGTAAGATAGCCACTGGAGCGCCGGCACCCTCTGAGTCTCTCGCCGGCGAGCCCGCTCCTTCAACACTGCCCGCAACTACTCGAAGCGCGTGGAGTAGAAATACCTCGACGTCGTCGCCGGACGCGAGGGTTGATAGGTACTGTCTTGCACGCTCGACTTCTCTGCAAGCGCATCGGAATCTCCAACCCTGAAACTTCTGGTACTAGAAAGGGAGGGAGTGTGCTGCTGGCTCTGATTGCCTGAATGGCATGGTTGGGTACGCTCACTGTGGTCTCCCACTCCAGCAACACCCTTCCCTTTGACACGCCGCTTGAGATCTTCCATCTCTGCCACCATTCTTCGGATGACGGCGTCTTGGTCCCTCAACTTGTGCTCTAGACGTCTGGCGTGTGATTCTCTCCGCCGTCGGTGTTCGTCTGGGCTCCGAGAGTGACCAAAACTCCTTCTGAGCTTATCCCGTGCGTCTCTTGAATGTCCTCCTGGGGAAGTCTCCAGGTCTGCCATGGGTGAAATGACGGGGAGTCCGTCTCTCCGTCTGGCTGACACCGGGGTAACTCCGTCGATGGCGGACAACGGTATCTCGTCGTTGTTCGCCATGGAAGGCGATCAGATAAGCTTGGAAGACAAGGTTTTGTCTATCAGATTCCCACAGACGGCGTCAATTGTACGGGGAGCAAATATTCTGCAGAGCCCATACTCCTTTCTACCAAGCTCCTTGTTCATCCGATCGACCTACGAACACAACGGCGGTGAGTTTCCCGGCGGTGTGTGGCCGGAAAACCCCTCCGACGGTCAAGTTAGCACACACTCAGGGATCTAGAAAGAGAGGAGAGAGTTTCATGTTTAGGGTGTTCTCACCAAATGATGTTCCATGCCCAGCATTGGGGGTGCAGACACGCTTATATACTTTCTACGCCCAAATCTGCTCTCATTAGTTTTTTGACACGTGGTGCTGCTCTCTCATCTGTCGGCACAAATCTTGCAATCACTACCTAACCAAACCGTTAGGCTATATTAGCGGAGCCCAGCAGACCGGCGAAACCACCTCGGCCTTTCACGACCGCACTGCGCAGCGTACCCGAATGTTCCATTCGCCGAGCTCCAGAACGACCGAGCTCGGTTGCATTCCGGCAAAGCCGAGTTCAAGATAGGTCGAGCCAGCAAACCGAAGGCCTTCCTGTCACGCTAAACGCGTGAACCGTGGAATCCAGCATGGCAGGCAATCATCTCGGCCGAGCAACTCAAGTAGCTCGATTTTCTACATAGACAAACCCAGTAGCTCAGTCCCAACATGGTCCTAGGCCTCAACCAAGCAAAACCTTATCTGGACTAGCTCAAGCTATCACGACCCAAACATATTCGGCCCCTCATTGTGCCCGGCCTTACCATGGCCCATTCCAGCTCATAAATCTCCCTCTCATACGTTTTTATAATTTAAGGACAAAATGATACTTCTCAATAGTTAGAAGATTCATTTATATGTTTTTATAGTTTAAGAAGTTAAAGTGATTCTTCTTAATAGTTTAACGCTGAGTTTGGTTGGGTGATTTGGGAAAGGATTTGGAAAAAAAAAAGAAGATAAAATGTGATTAAAATATACTTATATTTCATTTAATTTCACAAATTTTTTATATTTTTCTTTTCAAATCTCTCCACCAAACACCGCGTAAGGGTTTGGGTAAATAAGCCACATGAAAAGGTGAGTGTCCTTCACGAATGCTGAGGCGCGTATGTTTCTTCTAAAATTTCAATAATAGCATTAAATAAAAACTAGAAAATTAAAAAAAAAAAAAAAAAAACACTTCCTCTGTACAGACACAAAATCGAAGAGAGAGAGGGAGAGATCGGAGAGAGACACAGAGAGCGAGGTTTGGGTTCTTCAATCTCCGATTCGAAGAGAGAGAGAGAGAGAGAGAAATTTTTGGAGAGAGAAAGAATCGGAATGCAGAGCGATTTCTAGAGAGAGAGAGAGAATGAATGAATGAAAGGACAATGGAGGAAGAGGGGATATGGATTCCGAAGAGGAAAGTCTCTGCGAACACTCTTCTGAATCTGAATTTCAACTTGTATTTCGAAGCTCCGACGAGGTCAGGTTATTGAATTTCTCTCTGTTTCTCTCTCTTGTATGCTCGAATTTTCTCTCTCTAGAAGCTTGAATCTCTGCTGTTCTTGCATTTCAATTCTCTGTAATTTTGAATCTCCACATACTCGAATAAGCTCTCATCATCAAATTAATTCTGGGTTGGGGTTTTGGGAGAGAATAATCAAGACTGTAAGTTGTCAAATAGGTATGAATTGGGGTTTACTTGGTGTTACAGAGAGGTATCTTTGTTGGGTTTTCGACTTCGTCGTTGAAAAATTGAGCCTTTTCTTGTGTGTATATGAGTAATTTGGATTGGGATTTGTGTTTGGTGGATTGCAATTTCAAAATTTATGCAATTGGTTTTGGAGGGAGAGTTAGTTGGAAATTGGGATCTCTGGTTCTGGAGTCAACCCAATCAATCTTCAGATTCTTTTGCTTGGGTTTCTGAAGATGTTCTTCGGTTTGGCATTGTCGGATTTGCTCGGGGAGGGATTAAAACTTGCGTGGAAGATGGGATTTTGGAAAAAAAGCAAAACCCTAATTTAGTAGTGAAATTAGGGCTTCTAGGTTTTGGGTTTGGTCGGTGGGAATTTTGTGATCTTGCTTGCTGTGTACGGACTTTATGTGCTGAGAATGCAACCGCCACATCAGCACCAACGGATCAATCTTGCTGAATTGAAAGGTCAGATGGTTAAGAAACTTGGGCCAGAGGCGTCAAAGCAATATTTTTATTTTTTGAATAGATTTTTGAGTTTGAAGCTAAGCAAGATGGAGTTCAATAAGCTTTGCGTTCGGATTGTTGGAAGAGAAAATATTCCACTGCATAATCAATTCATTCGGTCAATTCTGAAAAATGCCTGTAGTGCAGAAGTCCCACCGTCGACTCATGAGAAGGAAGTTCTGAAGTCAGTTAAAGCTGTTGGAAATAAAGAGCTTACAAGGGATGGGCACAAGCAAAGTGTGTCAAATCCGTCATTTTTGTCAAATGGTGATATTCTGCAGTTGTCACCGCGAAAGGTCAGGACTGGAACTCGTGATCGAAAGCCTTTGGATCGTCCTAGTTCTTTTGCACCAAATGGAAAGACAAACTTTGTTTCTCAACAATCATCAACTGAACATGATGGTAATTCAACTGTTGTTTTGGAAAATGGGGTTTCGACTCCACATGATATTCGAAGGCCGGTGCAGCATCATCAAGGACCCATGGAACGAGCAGAAAATGAAGGGGAGGTTTCCCATTATCACTCTGATAATTTACCCACAATAAAGGGCTTGCCAGATGGTTCAGTCTCTGCGCATAGCAAAGACCTGGCTGAAGAATTATCTTTTGAAGATAGAAAAGGGGGTTATGCGAGGAGTCTACTCCGTGCACCACTTGGTGTTCCATCTTGCCCAGCTAGTGTAGGTGGAGCCTACAGAATGATGCCTTTGGCAAGTAGTAGTACTTGTGCTAGCTCATTCAACATTGGTGGTTTGTTGGACAGCACAGCATTGAGGGAACGTATGGAGCAGATTGCTGCAACACAGGGTCTTGAAGGTGTGACTATGGACTGTGCCAATTTGTTGAACAACGGGTTGGATGCTTACTTGAAGGTTTTAATCGGGTCGTGCGTTGAACTAGTGGGGGCAAGGTCAGGGCATGAACCAACAAAGAGCAGTATGAACAAGCACCAAACTCATTTGAAGCTTGTTAATGGTGTCAGACCGGGTCATCATCTTCATCCTATGCAAAGTAGCAATAGGCCTATGGAAGGTGTACAAGAAAGGAAATCCGAATGTCCATTGTCTTTACTCGATTTCAGGGTTGCTATGGAGCTGAACCCACAACAGCTTGGTGAAGATTGGCCGTTACAGCTGGAGAAAATATGTACACGTGCATTTGACGAATAAAAAATGAAACCAAACTCTAGTGTTTATGTTTTGATTCAGTGCATTTTATGGCTTTTGGGCATGTTGATGATGTAATTTCTCGTTTATGGCCTTTTCTGAACTGTTCTACTGCCCTTGGGGCCCCTTACAAGATGATGGGGTTCAGAGCCGGAAATCGTTATAGTCGTATCTCCTGCTTCAGAGCTTGTGTCCTCAGTAAGAAATACGGTATTTATCAGCAACCAATCAAAGGGACTTGAAGAAAAAGATTGCCAATGTATGGTTGCATTGTTGTAATATTAGAATGTCTCACTGCATGTTTTCCACTTTTTTTCTGTAATTTATAGCCCATTTAAGAGGACAAATTAGAAACAGTTTTGCAGGAATAATTTTATGTAGTCTGGTAGGAAGCTCAATTGCATGTAACAGTTTGTGTATGTATTTTCAACACTAGGAATTGATTGCTATCTCACTATTAACACCACGTTTTGACGAAGATTATTCTTGATGGTTATATAACATTGCTCGTCTTGAAAGTAGTGTTATATTTGTCCAGCGGTTCAGTGGATTTCTACCTTGTTTCTTTTATTGCAATTTTAGTTTTAGTTTTGGATATTGCTTTCTTGTTTTTTGAAGCTTGTCTATCTTACTTATTTTTCTTGCAAGTCAGATATGTTGTTAAATGGCTTGGAGAATATCATCTCTCACTAAGTTGCTTATTGGAATGTATGGGCGTTTTATTTGTTTGGGTGCAAGGAAGCTCCATGCAAGCAATCTGATGGTAAAATGCTATTAATGTTTTTTGTTTTGTTTTGTTTTGTTTTTTCAATTTTTGTTTTTTGGATGAAAAGATAGTGGTCCTTGCTTTCTCTTACAACATGATTCCATTTTCAGCCCTAACACGAAAATATGTCCCCTATCCTTCGAGGCCTGATGGCTTTCTGCTTTTGCTTACTATGAGTTTGCTTCCTATGAGCCCATGCACCCTCATACAAATAGATAGGATTTGGTATTATAAATCCATATTCTATTGTGATGGTAGATTAGCAATGATCGGATGGGGCAATCCTCCAATTTCAGTAGATTGCCCTGTTTAGACATGTCATCTCTTTGGGGGGACTAAAATGGGTGCTGATGTGACATTGGAGGTGGTGCCTGAAACTGCCTTCAGCATGTATAGTGCTGCTCCGGAAAATCTAGGCAGCTGAGGGTGGCGATGAGCATGGATACACGGATGCGACACTAAATTGTAGAACCAAAAATGATACAAACTACAGAATGCGGTACTGCTGGCACTGCATTATGTGTACTTTTCTTGAAAATTTGTGTTTGTAGACTTACTGGGCTGAGGATTGAAGGATGATTATGAAATGTGTACAGATTGTTTCACACATAATGTAGGGGAAAAGGAATTTGTACTCAATTTCTAGTACTTTTGAACTGGAAACACAATGGAAAATTGTGGATATGTACTATAGGTTGCAAGAGTAGTGAAAATTCCCTTCTTTTTGTTTTGTTTTGTTTTTTTTTTTTTTTTTTTTTTGTTTTGTTTTGGGAATTTGGAGGTCCTAATAAATTCGAAAAACAATCATTAAAAATTGAAAAACACTAACGATGTGTTTGGTTGGGGATTTGAGGAAGGATTTGGAAAGGGAAATAAGAGAAAAGTTAGGTGAAATGTAAATAAAATATATCTACATTTCATCTAGTTTCACACACTTTTTCTCTTTTCCTTTCTAAATCTCTCCCCAAATCTCTCGACCAAACACAGCATAAGTTGATTGATGTAATCCTGTTTGGTTTATCCAATATGATCCAAAAAAATTACTTCTCATACAGATGCAGTAAAATTAAGCAAGAATGTGAACTCATATTGAGAAACACTGAAATCCTCCCCCTCAAACCAAGTAGTTGTATGCCAAAAAGGTTTCATAATTACCAACCTGTTTGGCACAGTTTATTGCGACTTCTTATAACTTCTGTCTAACTTTTTTTTTATTGTTTTTTTTTTGGGATAAATGTTTTATACAACTTTTATTTACAACTTATGGAATAAAAACAACTTAACTAAGTTGAAAATGCTAACTATTGGGAAGTTGGGGAAAGCATACTTTTGACTTCTATTTCTTGATCATTAACTTTTAACTTGCAACAAACTGTACTAAACTGAGCCAACATTTAATTAGACTCACAGTCTGTTATGAACATAAAAACTGATCATTGAACCAGGCACAAAATATACATGAATGGACGAGATTTTACAAAATTTGTAGTAAGGGTTCACTTGTGAAAAATTTTATTCTTCCGTATACATTTTGTGACCGATTGTTTAATCGATTTTTGTGTTCTTAAACTTAAAAACAACTCAACACTTTCTAACTAGAGCTTTGCTATCAATTATTTGACACCACATCAGTCAATTTATTCACAACTCTTCATTTTCATCCAGTACTAGAACTTGTTGCACATCAAATTCTGCTCAACACAAGTACAGAAAATGAGTAAAATTGGGCTCAAAGCCCTTCCATTGTATGACTTGATTGTGGGTGATGACAAAACACAATACAATATTTACACACGTCACCTTTTTTTGTCATTGTGACACTACTCTTATACCAACAAAACAGAGGTATTAATGTAAAGACACAATCCATAATCATATACTGTTATGGATACACTTTTTGCAATATAGCTCTGTACCATACCACTTCAATTCAATTTCAGACCTAGAATTCTGAAGTAGTGATGCCATGCCATGTTGTAAGACATTAACAAGACTTTATCATTATTATCATAGTATTGAACCAGACACAGAGAGAGAGAGGAAAGAGAAAGTTGCCGATTAAGCATGAGTTGTGGAGAAAGAAGACGGGGCAGCGCTATGGCCAGACCACACGAAAACCCTCCAAAAAGGCCTGTGCTTGCGCTTGGGGAGGTTTGACATCGAATCCAAGCCTGATCTACTGAGCATTTCCCACATCACCTGCACATCCTCGTATCCACAGGTTTGTATGTCATCGCGAAGCTTTAACAGCCCGGCACCTGCCCAAAACAATGTAGCCAGAGACATGTAAGTGATCCAAAATTTGAAGCTGTAGGTTCATAGCATGTGGTTTTAATACGTATTCGTTGTTTAAAACCATGATTAAGCGTTTAGATAGCAAGAAGACACCATAACAATCTGGGTATTAACTGATACAAAGGTTACAAAGTAATCATAATCCATTACATTAATTAGTTACTAGTAGAGGTGGAAGTTTTAACACAATACAATAATAAGACGAATAACAAACAAGTCAGGTTAGTATCAGACTCACGTAATACGGATTCAACATGGATTTGACATGACTAACTCGTTTAATCTAATTGCTATATAAATACCAAGCTTACTATGCCTAATACTATTATTTTCCCTCAATACAAATGTAATTTGTTAATTTCTACTTTTATATGTTTTTTAATCTGAATTTTTTCTAATTTAATCAAAATCTTTGATTGAAGCCTTTGTTATCAATTAAATGCGAGTAATGTGTTGATCATCATATCTGTGTTATGTTGGGGGTTGATACGTTTATAAGCATGTAGTTAGCATTAGGATACTTGACATAATTAGTTAAATAGGTCGAGTTAGTACTGAGGGATTCTGATACAACATGACCAACATGACATGATTCCCAACCTAGTTACCAAACCAATGGCCCTATTTGGATGAAGCTTCTAAAAGCATTTTTTTATTTTTTTTTTATTTTATAAATTTGTTGCAAAATATTTGATACAACTTATACTTACAACTTATGAAGTAGAAATAACTTAAATAAGTAGAAAAAAAACTAATTATTGAGAAGTAAAAGAATGGAGGTTTTTAAATTTACGTTTTTTGACCATCAACTATCAACTTGTTAGAAGTTGCACTAAATAGGTCTAATATAAACAAAAGGGTTAAATTCCTCTCAAGTTGAGAAAAAGACTGGAGTCATTCAGTTCGGCTTATTGGGCCCATCATTAGGCATACGTCGTTAATGTCTTATGGATAAATGAAATATCTATTTTAAAATTATACTTATTATTTATTTTTTAAAAATAAATATAATAAAATAATATAATTATGATTGTGAGATGAATTTAATTTCTTTTCATAAGTCATCTAAACACAATGTTCTAGATGAATTGTACGTGGACATTTGAAACATTTAAAGCTGAGTCATCATTTTGGTTGTTAGTAGCCAGAGTAATTTACACCCTAGTTTTTTTTATTGGGTCTAAACATAAATAATTGTGACATTTCGTACTGTGTCTCTAAGTGGATTTAGCCTAGTGGATGTAGCCCACCACCATAGGAATCTCTAATTCATGTTATTATATGTATATAATAATTTAAGAAATAAAATTAGTACATGAAACTTGATTAGAACCTTAAACTAATAACATTTTGGACTAGGACTAGAGTATTATTAACCACTATGATGGAAATAATATAAAGAAAGAATACATCTTTTCTTTATCCTAATTTTTTTTCCATTAGATTATTAACATTGTTAGTTTTCCATTAATCCTGTGTTTGGTTGGGGGATTTGGGGAGGGATTTGGAAAAGGAAAGGGAAAAGGTGTGTGAAACTAGGTGAAATATAGGCATGTTTTATTCACATTTCACCTACCTCTTTCATTTCCCTTTCCAAATCCCTCTCCAAATCTCCCAACCAAACACAACATAAGTAGTCGTCAAATTTTAATAATCTCGTTTTGGTCGTTAGTCGTGAGAATAATCATTAATGGAATCTTTTAAGCTATTTTTTTAAGGAATAAAATGAAAAAGAAAAAGAAATTAAAACCCTTCCACAAAACAAGTTTTGAAACAACTTTATTAAAATTTAAATAATGTTAGTGAATGAATGGTATAAAACAGGGGAAGGAACTTTATTACCACTTGTAGAAGGAATAATTGCTGAAAACGAATTGAAAAATACGTTTCTTAATGCTAATGCTTACTTAATTTGATAAATTCCGAAATGGTTGATAAATGT